TATCCACCAAAAAAAAAAAAAAAAAAAGTATGAATTTGACCCTTTGTATTACTTTTTTAATGTTGAAAGAAACTGTATTTCTATATCTGACAGTAATATTCCTTGAAAACTGTTTTGGATAGTGAAAAATAACGATTCAAAAAAACAATTGAGGAAAAATGTTCTCCAGTAAATGGTATAAATGTAGGTAAAACTAAGTCAATAAAAGACTAAAATCATTACAAAATATAAAACAAATTATTTAGATAAGTTGTGTTGATATAAATCCTATATGTGTTCCTGGAAATTTTGTAATGAAATGTATATACATCCAGGTTTCACAGTGTATAACACAGATGGCAGGTTTGGCAATTGTTTCAAGTATTGGGGATATTCCTGCATGTCCCAGTTGAGGAAACCTTTTTTTTGGTAGCCATAGGGTAAATACAAATTTTGCAGTCAATGGGTATAAATGTTTATTCAGACATATTTGAACTACTCAGCACAAGGGTTAAACTATTAGTAAACTCCTGATAGCTAGCTGATCAAATACTTTTGTGTGATTGTTTCTTTGAATACTTCTCCTTAAGAGTTTAGAAACCATTCCTAAAAAAAAAAGACCATCAACCTTCCGAGAACAATACCCTTCATTTCATGTCAGTTAAGTATATCCCTCCAAGATTACACCCTCTACATCCAACTGTTGAATTCAGACAATCACAAGAACCAAGAGCACACAGACCTAATCAAATTTACCCAACGAAATTGAATTCTCAGTTTCCAATGACAAGGAATCGGACATTGCAGTTTGTTTATGCAAGTGTCTTGAAATGCCACTGACACCAAAGGTCAGATGAAATCCTGAGTAATATAATTGGAGATGCTCTCATGAGCTAAACAGTTGGAAGAAATTTCCCAGTTTGCAAGAAGTTTACAAATTTCTGGTTAGCTACCATACACATTACTGCTTCTTCTTTCTCCAGATTAAGTTATTGTTGAGTTATTCATGTATGTTTGTACTAATGATATTTTTCCTCTCAGTGTAGGATTTAGTTTGACCACTGGTTGGGTAGACATTTTGGCACCCAGTCATTGAAATCAAGATTGTCTTGAGGCACTCCCATGTCTAACACCTTCCATGATGGTGATGACAAGTTACATATGTCTGTATTTTTATCTGAGCTTGTTTATTATTTAGTGTAAATGGTTTAACTGGTATCATAAATTTATGATGATGTTGTGATGAGTGTAGTGTGCAACATTCTGCAATGTTATTTCTTGAGTATTCAGTTGGTTCACGCTTCATTAAATTGTTAGGTCAAATATTGTATAAAAATGGCAAAATTTTGTTTAGCTTCACTACAGCTTTTGAGGTTTTAGTATTTCATTAGCTATGGAAAGTCAGATTATAAAAGGTCGAATCCCTCCAATGCCAAGATGGCACATAGGATCCAGTGCTAAATTCCAGCTCAATTGGCAAAAGCTGATGAAAATAATAACACATTCTTCCTAGACAGAATTTCAATTCATTGCAGGTTAACCTCCAGCTAATAACTGGTACCATTGATTATATAGTTGGATAGACTTTAAACAATGGAGATAAAGTGCCTTGTTCAAAGACACAACATCATGATGCATGCCAGCCTCAAATGCTCAACCATTCAACTACAAGTCCAAAGTATGAAGCCAATGTGTTACACTGCCATTAGCAGCGAAAGAGTGTTACTAAAATTATCCATTGAGTTTGTGTGCTATTTAACAAAAGAAGGAAACTTTAGGCACATTGTTCATTATTCATAGCTACAAATGGCTGATGCTCATACCTCCATGACTTAATTAGCTTAGATGCACATTGGTGTTTCTTGAATACTCATACGTGTATAGCAGTGTAGATTGTGTAAATGGTTGACCAGAGATTTGTTTTTACAATCATGAAAAAATAATGTGTACTTATGGCAATCGCACTGGGTGACTTCATATAGAAATTTAGCTGCACTGATGGAAAAAAAGAAATGAGGGTTGAAGGACCACCTATTTCCTTGGTTGCTGGAGAGTTTAAGATACTCTAAAATGAAATCTGAGGGTTTCTTTGATGTAAAATAGGGTGAAATATTTCTACCTTAATATTCTAGCAAGAATACTAAAGGCCAAAATAAACTTTTAGATAAAAAAAAATAGCATAATCATTTTGTACTCGTGCACTTTACAGTGTAACATTAAATTTTAATGTTGAAAATCGTGTAGAGATGATCTATGTATAGCTTTATCATCCTCATATTCTTGTTTGTATTGCCATCCCTACATCATTTTACATTTACAAAATTTTTAATACTTGTTTTAAATTTTAAGTTGACATTTGTAGTGTAATCATTCTTACATTTAATTTCGTAATTTTACTAAATATCCAACATTTCACTTGGAACTTCTGATTTGATTTCTTTCCTTAAATTGGAAAGTTTGACTTTTAGAACGTGTATTCCATAGTCTGTAGTTCCAGTGTTTGGGTTTCAATAATTAATCCACAATTTCTTTATTATAACAATGATCAAGGCTTATTTACCTTGAACATAACAAACCTACTTTAAACAAAAAAAAAACAAACCTGAATTAGTTTGTGGATCATCTTGACAATGAATTTGTGTGTACATGTTTCTGACACCTCCCAAAGCCTTAACTCTTCATGAAAAGTCATCTAATAGTGTTTTCATAGTAGCCAGTAGCACTCTGATCTTTGGTTACATTAATGCTCATTTGCATGAGGTGGTTGGTCCATTATAATTTGGAATTCCTGTTTCTGTTGATCCTGTCATGTCTTTTGATGCTTTTAACCTGCTATTCCTACCATGTGCTTTTGTTTCTGGATCTTCCTTTGCCAAGTTATTTCCACAGGTATGTAACATTTTTCTCTTTCTCCAGTTGTTTTCTGCTGACTTTTGGGCTACCTTGTCGCACGAGTCTCTTTTAGTCAAATTTTGGTAGTGGCCTGTCTTCTTTGAATTGATTTAACTATATTTTCAATAGTAGCTTGTCCAATGTGATTTTGCCTGACTGTATGTTTTTGATAGTGACCTGTGATGTGTAAACTTGTGTGATTGTATTTTTGGTAGTAGCTTGTCTTACATTAAATCACTTCACTGAATTTTGGTAGTGGTTTGTCATACTGAAAATTAATTTTGGTAGTAGCTTATTGAATCTGAAATAACTTGATTTAATTTTAAAGTTAATTAAAAATGTGCTGTAATAAATATATGTCATTGTTTTAAATAATAAAGAAATAGATATTGTAAGGCCTGGAATCCATTTTATTAATTTGAAAGATCAGTTTATATGTATAATAAATGAGGCTTACAATATTCTTTTTCTTTATGTTGAATATGAACAAATGTTACTATATCTCACTATACACTATGCATATATTTTGAGTAGGTCTTTCTGGGATTGACACTACTGTTGCTAAATTTAACTTTCTTTGTGGGTCAATGTATATCTAAATTATTTTAACTAAGCTCACATTGTCAATAAAATACTGATATGTCACTTGGAAAACATACACTGAATTCATTAGTTTCAATAATCATTACTTTGTGTAAGCAGGTTCTGAAGTAGGATAATATAATTTTTTTTGTTAATTACATACAATATATCAAAAAAGCATTCAGAAATTCTATTATTGGTGAAGTTTTGAACCAGAAAAAATGAAGTAAATCAAAAGATGCAAGAAACTTAAATCAAATGATAAAATTATTAGATTTCGAGCTGTCAAAGTATTTAAGTTTCTATGCACGTCAACAAAAAAATGTTTCACTTTTTTATGTAAACTTCTGTCTTTAAATGGAAGAGCTTTTGGAAAACAGATGTCTCTGTTTCTTTTTGAAAAAGTAAATTATTTAGTTCAAAGCCTTTATACATTGTCATGTCATGTTTCAATTTTAGAAAAAGATTTATGTATCAGAGCATTAATCACTGACTTAGTTAGAGAAATTAAACTGGCAGGGTCAAGTTAGTAGTGTGAGTCTTTAATTTGTGTTGGTGAAATATTGATATTAGTAAGAATTGATTAATAGTAGGTTTCCTTTTATTCGTTATTAGAAAGAACTATGTTATTTAAAATTCACACAAGTTTTCTGTCAGTTGCATAGTAAAACTTACTTATTTTGTTCAGTGTTTCACCACATTTAACTGGTGTCATCAGGTGAGATACAAAACTGAGGTTAACAAAATAAAAGTTTGACTACATACAACCGATAAAATAATTCTATGAGTTTCCCTTTGAATTCTTTATACAAAACATAAGTAAGGAGGAGATTAAAATAAAACTTTAGATATCTTAAAAATTGTTGAAAATTTGGTTTATTTGATGAATAATTGCAGAAATGGTGAAAAACTTCAATTTATAAAAATATGCATATGTGTAATCACGTAAATTTATAAAAAAATATGGATGTATAATCACATACTTTTAAAATTCACATAGAAGTAGCTCATAAACTTAATTATTCCAAATTGGCAAAACACACACTGTAATTAGACTGTATTGCTAAAAAAATCACAATGAAGTTATTTGTAACATACTTTTCAGAACAAGAAGCAAGTTAGAGGTTTTGGCTTGTATCATAACCAGTGATTAAAACAGAAATTTTTAAAATGGGGAACTCTAATATTGAAAGAAGTTAAGGCAGCTATGTGAGGTTAAAAAGCAACAAAGAGAGAAGCCACCCACTGGGAGCTCTTCTATGAGCCTCCAATATTACATTTTTACACATGTAAAAATGCTAACTAAACTGTGATGTCAACGAGTAAAAAACATTCTCCACTTTGTAAAAAAATCTTGTCAGTTTAGTACAGTACTTAGAATAATTAATAATACCAAACCAGAGTACAGTTAAAATACTGAGCTAGCTACTAGATTCAACTTATCAATGTCAATTTAATTATATGCAATGATATAACTTACTCTCATCAGCACACCTTTGAAAAGTTACGTTATGGAACACCTGGAATTCAACCAGACCCCAGCACAAAATTAAAATTACAATAAGCTCTGGATTGAAATTCCAAAAACCAATTGCATAACTTTTATTTGGGTTAGCATGCAATGTGAACAACATAAAAACATATGTATTTTAGAGGAAATATGTGGACAAATCAAGAAACTACGTTGTTCTTCAGTATACAAATTAATAGTATTAAACCATTCCTTATACAAACAGTGTATCCAAAAAAATGCCAAAATTGTATTATACTCCAATATTTAAGTCATTATCCACCAATATATGATTAGATTATCACAATAATGCAAAATTCAACTCAAAGAAAACTGAAAGTGTACACTGTGGGTCACCTTGGGTCTGACCAGACCCCAACACAAACAGATCCTTGTTGAGGAAGGAGATATGCATACATAGTTACCACAATAATGTTATAAGTAAACAGACAAGATGATACTGAACTACTCTGATGGATTATCCTCTAAAACAGCTTATATAGCAAAATAAACATTTATACATTTTTTTTATATACTATAAGGCAAACTGCATGTATAGTGATGGCCAATGATAGTATGGGGTCTATATTGACCCCAGATAAATATTAGATTATAGCTACATACTACCTCTGCCCTTTTTTTCGAAAACAACAGTGTCATATTGATCCAGGGTTTCAACTTTACAATTACATTAATGGATATAAATTTGTAATGGTTATGTAAAAACATATACAACCAAGAAAGTCATTTGGGTCCATATGGACCCCCAGGTGTTCTAATAATGGTTAATAGATGGAGCACATAGCTTTATCAGTACTAGGCCTATACATTTAGTTAGCATGGTCCCTAGATCTAACTTTGGTCTTAGCCTGTGTACAAATCTGCTTACAATACATGATTAAAATAAAATATAAAGGAATTATAGAATACGGAGTCTATAACTTTTTGACAAAAACTATTCTTTGAAAGGAGCATTTTATATTGCAATAACTTTACTTGCGGCTACAGTTCACAAACTATGATTTTTGAACGTGTGGCATCAAAAGTGTTTTCTTTTTGCTTCATCTTGTCTAGTGTGTACACGTTTTATGGGAATGTTCATATTTTCTTAACAATTCAAAATAATTTCCAATATGACAAACTGACCTCTTCATTCAGTTAAGCCCTAACTTGTAGCAGTAAGGTGGTAACACATAAATGGCTACCAAACTGTTTGTCTGATTGATTATTCATTTAAACTCAATCTCTGGAGATTCCACTTGAGTTCTTTTACTAAATTTCAGCAGAATAATAGCTTGTCCTATATGAAATTGCCTGACTGTGTTTTAGACATTGGCCCATGATGTATGAATTTACAACTGTATTTTTGGTAATAGCTTGTCTTATGTTAATTTGGTTTACTGAATTTTCGTAATGGTTAGAAAAATAATTGAAGCTGACTTGAAATTGAAAATTTAATGCCATGCATAGCATGGGTACCTTTGCATTGGATGAACTGTTTATGTGTTATGGCTCAAAATAGAAGAAGGGGAAGCCCAGGTATACATTTGTAGCAATACTGTTTAAGCTCAGCATTGCCAAGTTCCTTTGCTAGTTATTTATAAATACAGGTGATAAACTGTATGGCTCTGGACAGGAAGAAAAATACCTCTGAAACTTTGGCTTGATGAATTTGTTTAAACCCCCTCTGGAATTATTTTGGTTCTACACTTTTGTGAATTATTAATTTATCTTTTTCAAGCAGGTTATGTCAGTTTTGGTGATGAAAAGCTTTGAAAATGTATCTAATATTGTACACAATATACATAAACTATCAAGAAATTTGATTTTTCTGCTAGTAGATGAGAAAAACCTAATTTATTTTGTTTCTACAGAACCAGGTATTGAACAAAATCACATGTATTACAAAAATATAATACAACACAAATTAATAATATACTACATTTCAAAAAACATTTCTATTGCCTGGCTTTTAATAAATAAATAAATCATTCAAAAGAATTTTAACATAAAGTTTATATATGGTCCCTTTTTGTTGCACTGCAAAACAAAAAATGTGAAACATTCAGTTTATCCTGGCCAGTAAAATTATCAAAATATGTCTCTGTATGAATTTTGTAACAATACACTATTTTCCAAAATATAAACTGAAACAAAAAAATTAATTATTAACACAACAAGCTTTAAAAGTAGCAAGTTCACCAAACATGTTAGGGCTTTTTAGCATACAACAATACACACACATCACTTATTTTTCAAGACTTTTAAAATATTTTATGCCCTAAAAATAGTCCAAATTTTGTTTGTTTTTATTTCTACTTATTCTTTACTAAGTTTGGTATGTGTTTTTATGGGTAATGTTCTTGTTTTTATGTGTTCAATGTAGTGGTAAAAGGTATTATTGATTACATAGCATTAAGCACACATATATCCCTCTTTTCCTCATTTACTTTCTCTTATGTAGTAACATACTGGTACAGAAAAAAAAAAGATGAAATGCTTGCTCATTACTATATTTCCCATACAAATTTTTGCAAATCTCAAACACCAATTTGAAATATTGATTCTTTTTTTTCCTTAGACAACAGTATTTCTGTTGAAGGTTGAGGTACTGATTCAGTTATTTGCTAAAGAAAACAATGCTTCTATTATAGCTTGAAGTACTGATTCTCTTATTGGTGAAGACAATAATGCTGTTAACTAAAGTTTGAAACATTGATCCTTTTTACTTATTTAAGAAAAAGTAATTCAACTAGATCTTGATGTTTTGATTTTTTCTTAGCTTAACTACTTCAAGCAGGCTTGAAATAGTTTTTTCTTTAAGACAACAGTATTTCAATCACAGCTGAAATATAAATTATTTTCATAGTTTAATACAGCAATATTTCCATTGGAATTTGAAGTACTGAAGTTTCTCTGCTTAAGACAAAAGAATTTCTTTCAGAACTTACAACTTGATTTATTTATCTGTCAGATTAACTCCTCACTATGAATCATGTTTTAAGCTAATAGTTCAGTCTAATGGGTTTTTTTCTTCAAGTCATTGCAAATAATAAGTTTTTGGCTAATCAATTTAAGTAATTTTTACCATTTTCATTATATATTCTTAATTTTTCTTTTACATGTATTCAAGCATTATTACATGCTTTGAAGTTTCCATTTTGCTAAAATTTTCATATATGCAACAAAACTTTTCACCTGATAAGATCATAATTATTTAATTTGGTGAAACACTTGCTACATTGACAGGTCTTTTATCTGATCAGATAATTGTTGTACCTGTGCAGTAATAATTTGCTGGGTAACACATCATACACCCTGTGAGATAAAAAGGAAAACTCATCTATCTGGTAAGATGATATTTCTCAACTGTGCCAAGAGTAACATGTAACAAATTTTATTTCTTCGAGATAGTTTCAGTGTAACAAGACTTCCATCTTGTCAATTAATTTTATATGTAATAAATCTATTCACCTGAGGAGACAAATAATTTTTTATTTGTATTTAGATTTGTAATTCATATTCATCTGTGGCCTGGGTGCAGTCATACCTCTTGGTGGAAGAGGTGGAGCACCAGGTTTAAAAGGTGAGCCAGAAGAGGTTAATGATGTTGATAAATCATCAACAGGTGGTGGTGGTGGTGGTTCATCTGGCATATCATCACCTAGCTGAATTTCTCTAAAGCCTTTAGATGGAAGCAAATTGTAATAATGCAATTCACTGTCACTGTCCTTATTAAGTGGTACTGGTTTTGGTAGAACAAGAACTTTATTTATTCTTTTCTCTTCTTTGCAAATCTTACCTATTTGTTCAGGTTTTCTAGGAATTGCATAATCATGATTAGAATGAAGAGTGACATCTGATTCTTCATGTTTTTTCACGACTGCAATAGGAGGAGGGGGGATAACATAATGCAATTCATCACTTCTGTGGAGCAGCATTTTCTCATTGCTTGCTTTTGTTGTATAATCTTCAGCTGAAACTGAAAGGTTCAGAGCAGGGCAGCTGTCAGAAGTACTAAGCTGGTAATGCACAGACATATGTGAAGTACCAGATGGTTTTCTTGAGAACCTCTCTGAATTTGTTCTTTCAACAGGTGTTCTGTACTTCCTATGACTTTGCTCATTAAGTTCTTTAAACAGTTGACCTGTAATAAGGAAGTCATACAATTTTATTATTTATATGAGAAAAAACTATAAAAACAGAATATGGTAAGGAAGCTGTAACACTGAATTTACAAAAAAGACGTGTAATATGGAATTTATACAGCTTGAATGTAACTTAAAGTTTGTAGAAGTAGAATGAGTATTGTGTTTTTTAGAGGCTAGATACAGTACAGTGTTTGAAGAAATGGAATATAATATGGTGTTTGTAGAGATAGGATACTGAATAATGTTTGTAGCAGATAGGATATGATATGGTCTTTATAAATATGGAATGTAGTATGGGGCTATAGGGATGGAATACAGTATCGTGTTCACAAAGGTAGGATTATATACTATGGTTTCTGTAGAGATGAGATATAATAAGGTTTTTATAGAAATGGAATGTAATATTAAGCCTGGAGGGATGAGCTATAGTGTAATGTTTGTAGAGATGGGATATAGTATGGTTTTTATTGAAACGGAATGTAATACTAAGCCTGGAGGGATGAGCTATAGTGTAGTGTTTGTAGAGACGGAATATAGTATGGTTTTTTATTGAAACGGAATGTAATATTAAGCCTGGAGGGATGAGCTATAGTGTAATGTTTATAGAGATGGGATATAGTATGGTTTTTTTAGAAATGGAATGTAATATTAAGCCTGGAGGGATGAGCTATAGTGTAATGTTTGTAGAGATGGAATATAGTATGGTTTTTTAGAAATGGAATGTAATATTAAGCCTGGAGGGATGAGCTATAGTGTAATGTATGTAGAGATGGGATATAGTATGTTTTTCTTATAGAAATGGAATGTAATATTAAGTCTGGTGGAATAAGCTATAGTGTAGTCTTTGTAGAGATGGGATATAATATGGAACATGTAGAGATGGTATGGTGTTTGTAAAAATGTAATGGAGCACTTTTTGTGCAGACATTATACTTGTAGTATTTGTCTCCTTAAATGTTCAGTGAACATTACCAAACCCAGTGTTATGATAGCATTGCCCCAAATATTAAAACCTAATATCAAACTGCTTAAGAAGAGTAAGGTAATTATTAAATTACAGTCAACCATTAACATTGTGATTCTTTCTAACAAAATATGCTCTATTTTACTATGCAAATCTGGAAAATGTCTAAAAGTAGAGTTCCAGGATAGCTCCTCATTTGTTATTCTGAGGCTGTAACAAGGAACAGTAACTATAAAAGTTTAGATATCAAATAGATTAAAGAATCATACCTGAGGGTAGCATGTCTAAAGGTGGAGTTGGGGTACAGCTCTTGTTTTTTGTCGAGTTCTCTGGAAACTCAGTGTGTTTTGTTTTCAGATAATAAGCATCGGAATTGTAATATATAGACTCAGAATTCTCTTCAGAGGCTGTGGTCTGTGAAGAAATCTTGTTAGGCACCATAACAGGTGGAATATTCTTGTATGTAAGGTTTTCAAACTTATTTAATTTTTGCTGGTGACTGACCAGTCGACCTGAAGACTTGCTACTGGAAGACTTTTGTATGGATAGTTTCCGTAAGTTTTGTGGACGAGGAGGAGGAACAGGTGGCCGATTTGTTTGTCCGTTCACAGATACCATTTTTCTCACTGTGATATCCTCCTATTAAGAAATTTGAAGTTTAACGTAAAAATACATATATATATTAAAATTATAATAAAAAGTCATAAAAATAGATCCAATGTATAAAAACATAACATAAAATTACATATTAAACCTAGCAATCACAGTAGTTATAATTAAGTTTTTATTGCATAAAAGTGGCTAAACTTGAATGCTCATCATTTCAAAACAATATATAATTATAATGAATCCTCATTTATCCACTGTTACCACCAGCACCAGCTTGTAAACATCAAAAGAAACAAATGACATGTTTCAACCGCACTTTTACTGATCCATTTAAAGGTATTTTAAAGTTTATTATTATTTAAAAAATACTTAAGTTTTCATTCTGATTCAGTAAATATGATTTAAATATTTGTTTTTAAGCCAGAAACATACGCTACTACATGCTAAGGCATCCTAAACTTTATTCCTATTTCCAAGAACTTTGCTGTTTCAAGAGAACAAAAGTTTTATATTGAAGTTCTCTTTTACAACCCATTTCATTTCATAAGAGAATATCATTAAGAATACAAAGTATTTTTGTTGTATACTCACTTTTGAGCGAACTAAATCATCACAAGAGTCATTCCCACTGTCATAGTTACTGTTTAAATTCACTCCATCTATTGATGATGAACCTGGAAAAATGTTATAAAAGAGAATTTGGGTGTATCTTTTTTTTTTTTTTCATCAATACTATTAAAATGTTACAATTATTTATCACACTGATATTTGTTTTTAGTTATCCAACATCATAAAGAGATAGATACTGAAAAAAGATATAATACAATAATGCACCAATTTGTGTGTGTAAAAACAATCTGGCTTTGATATACAAATTAAGATATATTTGTGAAATAAAATCCTAAAATGACATATTATTAACATTTTTCATTTTAAAAATTGAGAGACTTCTATGAGAAAATAATGGACTCCAGATGATGTACTACAATCTTTATGGAAAATCAAGTACAGCCACTGGGTAAAGGAAATATTTAGAAAACTGTTATTTTTTTAATAAATTTTATAAACGTTTTAAAATGAACACTATAAATTTGCTTAAGGTTCTTTCCAAAGTAAAAGTATTAATTCTTGAAAAAATGTTTAATCAATTGTTTATTAATAGGCTAAATGATTGTTCATTTTACAACTCCAATACTAACAAAGTTACAGGTATATGTTGTTAACAGCTTATCAAATTTAACAAAGTATACACTATTAAGAATATGAAAAAAAGAGCATAAAAAGTTATTTGTGGTAATGTGTTGCTTGTCTCTTAAAACTTGAATTAATTAAATGCAAAGCATGTTAAAGTCATGGAAAAAATGAAAACTCAAGTAATTTGCTGATTTGGTTCCAACATTTTACTCTACAATGGTTTTCTATCATTAGCACAACAAAACTAACTCTAGAGGAATATTGGGGTATTCTAATAAATGTACACACTATTGTATTGGTGCTGTCTTGAAGTACATGTTCTGCTGCTGTGAATGAATAATAAATTCTAAGGTTGTCTTTCTTAGAAGCAAAAACTTACTGGAACTGCTAGTAAAAGACAGGGTACTTAAAGTACTAATACGCTGTTGTAAAATATCTTCATTTTCTTTCTGTCCATCTTTTCTCCCAGCAACAGAGGACATACTTTGATGTTGCTACAAATATAATAAAAATTAGTGATTAGTCAGATTGTAATTCTTTAACTTTTAAGTTTATTTCTCTATATCATTGTTGTAATGCAATTACATAATCAAACATAAATCTTAAGCAAATATTACTTAAATCTTGTTGACTTTGATAAAAAAAAAGTATTTAATATTTTTCAATGTCTGTAAAGTGTGAGATATTCCATCACAAACTTTTATTTAAAGTTTGTTGATTTTAACAAAACCAAGTATTTCATCAGTATCCGTAACAACATGAGACATTCCATCATAAACTTTAATCTTAATGTTTTTCTAACAAAATAATACACTACACAGAAGTACAATATTTTTAAGATGGAAATTATGGACTTCTGGTAATAACTTAATTAGTAATAAATGAAAGGTTTTTGTTATAACACATTATATTTTGTGTTCCAATTTAAAATCATTATTTATCACACTGGGTTCAATCACAGAAATTAATCATTGTAATTAAAATTGGAAGTTTGACTATTACATTAAATGTGACTGGTTTTTACACTCCCACTTTCCTTCCAAATTCAAATTTTGACAAGTTAATAGACAAAACAGAATTATCATTATGGATCTCAGCTAATCTGTAAAGAAATATTTTTTACCTTAGCTGTTAACACATCCTTTCGGCCAAGTTTTGATGAAAATATGGTTTGAAGTTCAAAGAAATTTTTTGTTTGTCTCTTAGTGTATTTTTGTTTTTTTGCTCGCTTGTAAATCTCACGTAGTTTCTTCAGCCCTTCCTGTAATTGTCAATAAATCATTTAAATTTGAGAAATTATTTCCTCTTTAAACATTAAAAACAATAAATAAAAACTTGCAGTTTCAGTTTATATGAACTATATGCTACAAATAGCAATTTTTAAAATGAACACTTGCATAGACAATTATGTGCCTTAAACAAGGTTTCTGGTGAAGTACTAATAAATGTCAGAAATCAAATGTGAACATAAAATAACTGAAGGTGCACAAAGAACTTTATCTAATAAATAATGTCCTCAAACAACTTTAAATATTGAAAAGTAACTAGTACTAGGATAAAAACAAAACACTTCAGTTTAACTTTTTTCTGTAGTGTTGGTCCTCAAGGAATTTTAATTAATTAGAGAAAAGAGTTGTTTCACCCTCTAAGTTAATTGTTTTATTGAGAAATTCTAAAAACTCAGCATATAATACAGTTATTTTAACCCAGTCAAAGCTACAGATTCATAAGTGAAAGGAAAAGAGCACCAACTTACGAGTGATAAAGTTACAAGTTCATTAATAAAAAAACAAGTAACGCTAGTTTGTGGATGATAAACTTATGGTTTCAGAAGAAGAAGAAAAGAAGCACTAACTTCTGAATGATAAAGGTACTGTTTCAGAGATATTAAATTATAAATAATTTTTATTCAGATAACTACTAATATATAAAAGTTCTTTAAACTATCAAAATAAGGACACAAAGATGATAGTTCAAAAAAAGTGTTGTAGGGCCATGTGTCACAGTAATCTCACCTAATCATGTTTTTTAAGAATATGGCTACTGGGAGGTTTTTGAATGATGAAAAATAAAAAAGCAATATTTTCTAAAATCTTAGAGCAGAAAAATGTGACAATTTTCCCAATTTTGGTTGATGACATATTTTAACTTTTTTTTTACAATTGCAGCCTATAAAAATTATTTCCAAAATTTTGAGTAATTAAACTATTTTAAAAAAATTGTTCTAAAAATTCGTCTTACAAAATCACAGTTATAATTAAAGGAATAATCATTTTGATAAGTCAGTTTTAATTGAGTTATTAACTGAAGATAGTTTAAAAATTAATTTGGTTATGCTATAGTTTACATGATATTTTTGTGAACTGTTTTTGGTTGATTGTTATCCGATAGTATTTTAAAACTACTATGTTTTTGAACAGGTTAAGTGTTTTAAGAAATTGCAGGTGTTCATTTCACTATCATCAGTTAGCCTCAGTAAATCACTTTTGGTATTGCTATCATTAAATGAAACATATATCAGTTCCAGTTACCTAGACATCAAGAATCCTAGTTAATCTATAATAAACAGAAAAGAAAACTTGGTATAGATATTACGTATGTAACCACAATTTGGTTGTGGATTGGAAAACTTACTATAGAATTTTCAGAGGGAACAATGTGGTGCATCTGCCATTCAAGGAACAACTTCTCAACCTCTGAAAATCTTGCTCCTTTTTTATAACTTTCAAGAATATCTAGTAGTTCTTTTTGTCCAGTACTTAGTGCAATTAGTTCACGGTGATTGGCAGATTCATCTGAAACATTAACAAATCAAATATCGTTTGTAAGAACTTCATACCAAAATTTTATTACCAGTTTGAAGGGTAAAGCAGCCTTTTCAATGCTTCTACAGAAATGGAAATATTTTAGTTTAAAAATCCTTTTTTAATATATATATATATGGTAATATTTAAGAAAAAATTCAGAATCAATGAATTAATTATGGTAACAGAAAGCTTTTTCACATTAAGAGAGTGCTTAGCCACCATAATTTTGATAATTTATACATGTGGCAAGTTAAAAAAAAACAAAAAACATTTGTATCGTAGCACATACCATTAGTTAATATAAACAAATCATAAACTGTTTTCACCCCAAAACATTGTTTGAACTGACATGAAGCTAACTTCTCAGAAAAACCAATAAACATTTCTTCACCCTGATTGGAAAAATATTTAATTTTAAGCATTCTCAGACATGTAAATAGATATATTTATAGGTAAATTCTAAGTTAGAGAGAATTACATAGTTAATCATTATAGAATAGATTTATTTGTATGACAAGAGGTTTAATAACATTATTTAAGAGCTGTCACATTTTAGTAAAACAGCTGTGTAAACATACTTAAAGATGAGAGCTGTGTGGTTGAAGTATTACGAAGTTCTGTTTCATTTACTTGTTCATCTTTCTCATTTTTCTTATCTTCTTCTATACCCAAGAGAACTTTCTCATGAGGCTCCAAATTTTCTAATATAAAAGAAAACATCTCTAAACTACTAATAAATAACGAATTTATTGTTTCAGTATACAATTCCACTTAACTTCATTTACTTATTTTGTTGAATAAAAAATCATGAATTTACAATTAGGGTAAGCAGTAAGGGAGGGCTTTCTAGGGCTGAAGCTATTCCAAGATGTACTTCAGACTCTCCTGTATCTCATACAACCAATGAAAAGTGTTTATTTTTAAAGTTGGCTCATTTTCTAAGTACTAAAGTATGTATTCCCATAAGATGTAGAGTGCACTCCCCTCAATTTTTTGTCTAGCCCACTAGAAAGAGGCTTGTACCACCCCTGTTTAGAACGAAATGATCTTCTACTTATTGTTTCTGAATTCCAGTATTTTAATGAACTACTAATTTTGGATAAGATATGGCCACTTTTATTTTTCCTTGTAATTGAGAACCTTTATAACATATATATTACGTGCAACATACATTTGACTTAAATCAAATTCAAGCAGAAATTTTGTACGAATCCAGGTCTAAAAAAGAATAATATATTTTGAAAAGTATTTACACGATGGTTTAGCTTTCTATGTTTTTTTTTTTTTTTATTGAATCAGCGATAATAATATCACCAATATTCATTTAAACCAACTAACTTTTATTACATCACAGTTAAGTCCTCAAAAAAATATCACCACTTGCAGAATACTTGAAATCACTGAATCAATTCCACTGGTTAACATACAGCAAAAAAAACACTTGTCATTTTCAAAGCAACAACATGTTAGTTATATGACAACACTGTGCCAGCTAGATGTGGACAGTTAATAAAGGTTCCTTATGAAGATAGGAAATT